AGAAACCAAAAAAAAAGCGTTGTAAATCGCTTGTACATTCCGTCCTGCTAACAATCCCCAAATGCAATGTGACATATTTTACAGATGTTAAAGTGACAAATAATAGTAACTGTCCAACACTGCGATTTAGTACGCCCTATTGCGTGACAATTTTTGAGTGAAAAAGGGGAACGTGTCTAACACATCTTTAAGTGTCATCAACTAACATTCACATAACAGTAGTCCGAGGACACAAGCATTAAATCGCAATTTTTTTGACACTGTTCTGGTTGTTTAGAAAGAAAATGGGCTACAGCTGGATATAACTAAATCACTGAATATATTTCCGATTGTAGCATTTACAAAGTGGCATTCAGTTGTCTTGTATCTGCACATCTGTATATTCTAACACAGCTGTTCATTGTTTGAACATGTAACTCGGAAAATTTAATTCCAATACAGCCAATACAGCACAACACAACACACCAACTTTGCTACTTCATGGATTTCCCTTAAGAAATCCTGTCTATTTGCCGCAAAACATAATTGAGAATTCAGTTCAGTTGCACAGGAACATATGTTTTAGTAGACATATGTGTGTTGGAGGTTATGACATAACCTATTTTCCATGCAAAATTAATCTGCTGACAAATTCCAGTGAAAAATGTCTGTAATATAGCAGCTGCAGAAAGCGCTGAGTCGGCATTAAAACTACACTGATTACCGCAGCGATACACTTGTTTAAACGAACATGTTCTTCTCTTTTATGCTGTCTGTTCTCACTTCATGTCTCATAAGCATATCTTGTTACATAATGTCTGCAAAGTGAGTCAAGTCTTTTGAGACTGCACCTTAAACAAGGGTATTTTCTCTACAAGCTGGTATCTGCAAACCCACCTGCTTTCTCAGAACTCCTGCCTGCAGCTCAGTTATTATAATTCTCAAGATTGTGTTTTTTTTTCTAACTTAGAGAAAGAAATTTAAATTGCAGAAAACTGACCTTGAGCCTGGGGTGCTTCACTACAAAATCTCTGCTTTATCAGCTGGACTATTTTGGCACTAAAATACGTCCATAGTCACACCTGAAACTACATAAATTGATCTTATTCTGTCAGTCAGTGAGTAAATTTATGCCTCGTCTTGTATGAAAATACACATAAACATTGACACTTGTAGCTGCCACATGTTGGCTGATGTGTGATAAGCGAGTGGTCAGTGCCATGTCTCTGGCCTTTTGTCCTGTTTTCTAGCCGGTGATTCAGGAATTCAAAAGGAGCATATAAGCATTTCTGCATACTTTGGATCATTCACAGTGCATATCGAGTACAGTGCAAAAGTTTTAGCCACTTTTGTTGTTTAGATTTTTACCCATAATGTAATACAAACATGGTTTCCACTCATTTTCCACACTTACACTCAACAAAAAAACAGCTATGTAAAAGTTTGCATCAATCTCTTTAAGTTCTGTCAACTTCCAATGAAATCATGTTCAACCAACAAATTACACTGAGTTAAAGAAATGATCTTTTTCTCTGCAACCAAAGGTATTTTTATTAACCACTTACTTAATGATTGGCAGCATAAATGTGTTTTTAAGTTGATTACTCATAGAAATCGAGTTGTTTCAAGCAGTATTTCTGCACTATCTACAAGGAATTAGTGGGAAAGTGTTATGCACTTAATTACTGTAATTATGAACACAGGTTTCTAAGTTGGCACAACAGAAAAAGTTAAGGCATTCCAGTGTTAAGTTAGTAAGGGAGGGGACTTGAAATCCTGATCTCAAGGTAAAGAAAAAAAGTAGTTATCAAGCCAATTTCTTTAAGTTTCCTTATCCTGAATTTGGTTGTAAATCCCCTAATGCAGAAATTTGAGTTTAGGTTACACAAAACTTCAAATTGGTGCAATGACCAACATTATTATGTCAACCCAATCCAACTAAATACTGTTTGCAATTTAAAATTTTTATCTCAGTCGCTGAATTTAGGGCACTTTAAATACTTCTTAGATGCATACAGTTTGCAGACTTCAAATGAGATGAGCAGAAGCTGACACTGTTTACCATTTCGTGTGACAGACTTCCTTTCCTGTAATTTTTTTTTAATGAATTTTACTTTTCTTTGCGGGACCTCCCAACCAATCAAAAACTCTGCAACCTACCGCCCACTCCATCCGCACACACTTTGTGGAGACTGACTTTTTTCAGATGCATTTGAGTTAACTGCTGGCAAAAAAAAAAGAGGAAATGTGAACATGCAACTTCTTGCTGAGTGGGTATGAATGTTGCTGTGCAGCTAAAGAGCTTGAAAATATTCCTGTAGGTTAAACTACATCAACTTTGCTCGTTATTGCTGGAGGTGTTTGCACAGTTTCGCTCGCTGTGTTTGCACCATATGGTGCTCAGCCTCCCTCCAGGTGAACATGCTATACTGGAAACCAGAGACCCTTACATAACAGCCCACCAGCCTGTCAAAGGGGCCACATTCTTTCTGTATCTGCAGCAAGTGGCACGCCGACTCGCCCTCGAGCTGCACCACCCCCCTCCACAAACCCTTATAGAGCACAAACCTGAGTGCAAGCTGGAAACTATGTGAAAGGGTATATCTACCCCACACGGTTCATAACAAAAACAAACACTGACCTTGAATGATTGTGCGGTTCGCTGCTGTAATATTCTTAATCCTGTTTCAATTTACAGTTGATAGCTTGACATAAAGTTTGATATTAGAAAAGGTCATCGACAACTTCAGGATGTGGTGACATAAAACGGCCCCAAACTACCAACTAAAGGCCAAAATAAACAAATAAACAGAATTGAATTTTGAAATACAGTAAGTCTTCTTGTACCCAGAGATCCACAGTGAGATTTGACAGTTTTACTCAGACCAAAACTGTGACGGTTACTGAACCGCCACTAGAAATTCATAGCTACCAAATTTGATGCAAGAGATATGAAGCACGACAAATACTGCGTCCATTTTCATTGTGGTAATGCCAGGTGGCCTATTTCTTTGAACCATTCACCAAAACAGTCAGTCACAAAGCTAAGGCATAAGTGCCACAGTTAAAGTAAAACAATCCATCTCAGCATGAATAATCAAATCTAAACACACAACAATGACACACAACCACTGTCAATAAACTATTTATCCCTTTTGAAAATTTCTCTTTCATCGCTTTTTCCACAAAATTTTATTGAAAAAAAGACTCTTTCATGTCAAAGTGAAGACAGAGACACATTCACTGCATACCATTTCACTAATTTTGTGACGTCGAGCACTTTTTAGCAATACTTATGCAATCATCCATCCATCCATCATCTATACACCGCTTAATCCTCATTAGGGTCGCGGGGGGGCTGGAGCCTATCCCAGCCGACTTAGGGTGAAGGCAGGGGACACCCTGGACAGGTCACCAGTCCATCGCAGGGCTACACTTAGAGACAGACAACCAAGCACACTCACATTCACACCTACAGACAATTTAGAATCACCAATTAACCTCAACATGTTTTTGGACTGTGTGGGAAGAAGCCGGAGAACCCGGAGAGAACCCACGCTGCACGGGGAGAACGTGCAAACTCCACGCAGAAAGATTCCGGTGCCCCAACCGGGACGCGAACCGGCGACCTTCTTGCTGCGAGGCAACAGTGCTACCAACTGCGCCATCACCTATTTTATATTTTTCAATTAATTGACATCCCTTTGTAGATATCAATTTCCGCTTTGACAAAGCTGATGAGTATTGAATTTAACTACAATCAAATTCGAGGTGACACTGACATCAAAACACCCTCACTGAGTTCCCCAAATGTTCACCGCAGTGAAACAACATCAGCAGTTTTGGTATCTACCACTGCAACCACATCAAAATGCAAAAGCAGCTCATCATCTCCAATGAACCCAAATGGTACGAATGCACTCACAACTCATGTATCAGATTTTTTTGAAAAAGTTACACTTTTGATCAATAAACTATATTGTGAATGAAATAAAAGATGTCGTGTAAATTGCCAAAGCTAGCCAGTTTCATTCGGAAACAGGGTTACCTCGACAACCAGAACCTGGAATATTACCTTGTAACCAACCTTCAAACAACAAACAGCTAGTTTTGTATGTAGAAGGGGCTTGGCAGTAGAATGAGACGACAGATCAGTTGCTTCCAATGTTGCTTATTCGTTTGCATGGTTTGCATCCTCGAGGCTCCAACAAACATGTTCTCTGTGTAATTTTCCATAAGTAGCTCAAGCTTTTATGATAATCTCACAGCCTTTGAGTCAGAGAAGTTTCAAGTTTAAGGTTTTGGTCAAGAAACCATGTTAAACCGCCACAATTTTTCAATATTTTCATGATAGAAAGGGACATTATGTATACAATTGAAATTCTAAATTTAAACTGCAAACAAGAACAAAATAAAGTCATAATTTTAAATGTCAGTTTGCAGGACTGACTCACCTTATTTCAGATTGTTTAGTATCATATTTTTTCACAAAATTGAATCCAAACAGGTTAAAATGCAGTAAATAGTCATAAAAATATTCCTTCTGAATAGAGAAAAAGCTTCTCAATATCTGTATGAGTGGCACCCTTGAGATAAAAGCCAGATATTGAGAGTTCACACTAATAAAAACAAACTATAACTGTCTCTTCAGTTTATTAGCCCACTCAGCAGCACCATGTGTAGACTGTGAATGGAAACGGGAGCCTTTTAACAGTCTTTTATACACTACTGAGCAATTAAACACAAAAGAATACCAAGGTCCAGCAGTCAAATTAAAAGATAAAGGCATTACACAACATTATTTATGATCTCCTCATCAGTTTACAAGTCACACTGGCATATATTTTCTTCTTACTACCAAGTTTATCATCTGTTTTTTCCATTTTTCATACATTTTGTGGCTTCAAGTTTCTTTCATCTTTATCGTCGAACTGTGATAAGTGCGAGAGTAAAACATGTTTTCATTCACAGCCGACGTATTCGGTGTGTTTGGATTCCTTGCAGAGGTTTGTGAGTGTGAATCATGTTTGGCTGTACAGCATGAGCTCGTAATGGCCTCGGTAACGAAAACTGTAACTTACAGCAATTTCCCTGCAGGCGGACATTGATATTCCAGTGCCTTCTATTTGTTTCAGTGCATACTCCTTCTCATCTTTCCTGTGGAGATAAAAAAGAGAAAATGGGAGCAACATTACTGGGTGGCACAACATTTTGGTTTATTTTCTTTTTTACCAGCAGTCTTGTTGAAACACACCTCATCAACTCTTGAGTCTCTTGCTGGCCTTTTGGGGCTTGTTTGTTAAAGCAGGAGGTGTTTTAGAGAAGATGAAAATGACAACTGAGGGCATAAAAAAGTCTGCGAGGGTTCGACTGCCGCAGAGGAATCCCTGCCATTACAGCTAGCCTTTGGCAGCAAAGAGCCATCCCTTCCCTGCAGGAGGCTTCTGTTGTTGCCTCCTCTTCCCCCGCCTCAGGCCTGGATCACTGCCCTGCACGAATTCACCCTTGATTCAAAGACAGAAACTCAAACTACCCACTGACCGGGCTGCAGTTCTCAGCTGGAAATTCTTTTTTTTTTTTTTTTTTTAACTTAGCAGGGTAGCCATTTGCCCTTGTGTATCACTTTTGTGCACAAAAACCTAAATAAGTGAAATGTGAGCCTGCAGGGCTGAGCAGACAAATATCGATTACTTGCGATAAGCAGTGTTCCAGTGGAGGAAACCCAGGATGAGCGGGGAGCAGTGCAGAAAATAAGGGCTAAAAGGAAACGCACGTCTGTTTAAAACAGCGCAAAGAGGCATGATTAAAATGTAAACACAGTCTGTGGACGGCATCCAGTAACAGCTTCATTCAGTCAGCAGATCAAACAGGTCCTCGTGGTGCTGAGATCAAACCCTCTTCAGCCTCATTTGCATTGGAGATGGTCACAGATTAACTGGAGCCCTCAGACACACATCTCTAAAGCTAATTGAGCTGCACAGGCGCTTGCAACAGCTCGAAACATTTAGTCTTTCAGTCAATAAGCAAATCAGTATTATTACAGCAGTTTTTACTCAGGCACATTAGTTGGACATCTTTTGTTACTTTACAAATGAAACATGAAGTGTCTGATTCTGGACGACGATACACAAATATTGTTAGATAAGTCCAAGCAACTCTCTTTTCCCATTTACAGACTCTTATAGAGAACGCACAGCACAGCTAGCAGACCGTGAGGAGATATTCACTGAATTTGACAAACAGTATATTAAAATATAATTGCTGACTCTACCTTTAAATCTTTTTTTTTTTTGTAACGCTGCATGAAACATGGGTTCCGCTTCTTAAACTTTGAGGATTTGCGGGTTGTTCTTTTAAACTCCCCCTCTGGTCATTGATTCAACCTCTAAGAACTAATTTCTGTGTGTCAAAGTCACATATTTATAGGGTTTTTTTCCACTTAAATAATCCGTTCCTGGCTCTTTCTTCACTGATCCCTCTGTACTTGCTGCAGCTCAAGCACACCAGCTCACCTACGACTGCAAAAACACTACTTTGTGTTACACATTGGCAGATTGTGATACTGGTTTAATTCAGACACACAAGTTCAAACTATTCTGAAGAAAAATATTGACACGGAGAGCCCCATCCTGCAAGTTTAGCGGATTTGTTTATTAGGTTTATTATGTACGAAACCCAAGATGTCTAAATCAGCGTCAGACTGTCATTGATAGTTTTAAGCTAGAAATGCTCAGTCGTGGTGTTGACTGCTTATTTTGCTCATGAAGTGTCTTCCAGCATATAAAAAAAAAAACACCTCATAGATATGCTAACTATTTAAGAAAAAGACTTGATTTTCACCGTAGGAGGTCTTATTTAATTAGTCAGCACAGGGCTTTTTCTTATAATCATGTAAATTTAAGTACTTTTGCTTAAGTACCAGATCTGAATACTACCTCCACCACTGCTAAAAGCGAAAGATTAAAATTCAAACATTATTCACATCTTTTATAAGCATTCAGAGCAATAACGAAGGGAAAAGAGAATAATAATCTCGCAGACAAGTGAATCCTAACAGTAATGCTAATATAAATATGGATTAGATGAGGCATTATTAGACGCTAATAATGTTGCAGATCTACCTCACATACAAAAGACAACACCCAGCGACACACTGGCCGACAACACCCACCAGGCAAGCGTCGGCTTGTCTGCTCAGAGCCCTGCAGGCTGCTGCACAGAGCTGGTTGTGGTTCTACTGTGCCAGCTCTGTACAGCGTAAACCTCTGCAATTACATCACTGAGGTTTTTGCGCACAGTTCCATCATGTCTTTCTCAAAATTTGGAACCTTGTGGTCTGCGGATGCATTGGTGACTGGCTCTCGGTGGGCACTATGCAATGCCAGCATCATAAAACCTGTGTTTATAAAACCACCAGAGACGAGCAGCACTGGAAATGTCTGAACAAAGTTTACTTTGGACCTGAACTGTTGTAGAAAATTCAACGTTTTGCGTAATATTATAATAGTACACCCAGAACAGATCTTACCAACAAGTCCTCAGACCTAAACAATCATATAGGAGGTTTGCCCCACTGATACAACCCATAGCAGCGTAGCAGTGGCGAAAGGTATTCCACAGATAACTTGCTAAATATGGCAAACACACTTTTTATGATGTGACAATACTACAGTAAAGGTTTGGTTAAGTTTGACCCTCTAAACCCCAAAAACCACCAGTGGGTTCAGAAGGCATGTTATCGTTTAAAAATCGGTAAAATTACACCATTTATCAGAACCATAAACTTGAAAAAGTTTTCAGGTTTTCAACTTTTCACAGTCAGTAAACAGTTTAGTCAGGAAAAATGAACCAAATTCAAGCTCAAATTCGCCTTTTTTTTATACATAAAAAATGTTGTTATTCTACATCTCTCATTAAAAAAAAATAAAAAAAATGAAAGTGTACCATTTCAACTCTCGAGATTCTGTAAAAAAATATATATACTGAAATCTGCGTTCATCTGTGCAACTGAGAAGCCATTAGTGGGTGAGCTGCAGCCAACAGCTATGTGACATCAATTCAGAGACTTTTCCTAAATTGGGCTGAACTTCAGGCTGTATTTACACAGAACTAATGGGACAAGTAAGTATGAGAGCAAATTAAAATCATTAGTAGTAAAATATCCATAGTATGTAGAGGCACCATTTTTCATAATTTTTTCTAAAACAAATAAATAGAGAAATTCAACTTCCGCTCTTTTTTTTTAATGATTTCTGGCAATATAACTGTGTTACACCAGACAAAAGACATTGTTGACTTCTCTCTACTTCTAGTCATGGCTGTGCTGTTTCCATGGAGGTGCAAGACTTTATGTTGCAGTGAAAAACGTAACAGGAGCAAAAGGCGCCCCCAAAACTGTTTGTGGTTAAGATGGCTAAGCACAAAAACAGCTTAACTCTGTTAAGGTTAGAAGACCTATTTTGTGATGGTTGCAAAAACAAAAACATAGTTAGCATATGGAACAACCATGATTTTTTAAAAAAAAGGTTGAACTCATTAGTTTGAAAATGAACCCCGGTCTTCTGTGTTAAAGTCCATTGATTTGTCGACCCGTCCGTCTACCCAGACCTCCTCCCTACACTGCCTTTGTGACTCTACAACAACATCACCTGACATCTTTATTCGCTGCCATAGTAATTATTGTGAACACTGGAGGTGTGTAGTTATTTCAATGTACACATAAGACTTTGGGGCAACGAGAAATCACTTTAAAAAAACACAACTCTGGGTTGTTATAAGTTGCTCGCATAAATTACCTTTGGTGTTGTTTTTTTTACAGCAGGATAGTCTAGATCTAACATGACACAAAGAGAAGACAAGATTTTCAAGAAATGAATTGAAAGCAAATGAACTGAAAGTCTTCTATAATGTTAACATGCATCTGAATGCATCCTATTTGCATTTTGCAGATATTTTGCACTTGCTATTGACAAATCACAAGCATTACACGATTTGAAAGTGCTGGCATCTCCTTCTTGAATGCATAAAGTCTGCTGAGACTATATATTATATTTGCTGTATTCCCACACTTGTCAAAAGGCAAACTAGGATCTTGATACTACCATGACACGGCTTCTGATAAAAGTACAAAATGGTAATATACTTCACAGGTTTAAGTTGGCACGCTGGTGCTTAGTTTGAGCCACACAGCTGTAATCTTGGCTCCTATATGGGCACAAGTCCAGACTATATATGGAGACAATCCATCAACTTCTTTAAAACACAAACAATGCATCTTTACACCGTGTCGAGGGCACGCTTCTCCTACTCCTGCCAGCTAGGAGTAACTTGCTAAAATTGCATATTGCTCAAGCTTTAGGTGTGAAGCCAGCAAACAAACAAACATGCGGTACCTTATGTTCAGCGCGGATATTGTGTTAATTCACTTCTAGCGTTATATGCACAGGGGACAGAAAGTGCAGTTTTCACTTTAATAAGCTTTACAGGTTAAGTTCGCTGGGAATATGTGATGCCCTCCATCCCCAGGGCCTTGCCTGTAGCCTCCGAGAATACAATCCAGGCTGACAGCAGCAACTCCGCCGATTCCACTTATTACTTTAGTTGGCCAGCGACAGAAACAACCACACCACTGCACAATACAAGCTGTAGTTTTGTGTCTGTATTTGGCTGCAACAATATCGCCGTCAAGGCCTTTTCTTTTCAAACTTTTGTTTGGTAGGGTTTCACTGCAGGGTTTACTTGAAAAGGCCTTTTTCACTTGAGATGCTTTGACTTCCTGTGAGAGGAAAAGCAGAGCTGGAACAATAACATTAATGGTCATTATATTGCACATTAAAACAATTCAAAACTGAGCCACTGTTAAACGTAATTAGTTGCACTGTTCTGGTGTCATAACAGATGTCACTGCACTGTGTTGTTCCTGCGATAACACATAAAAATCTACAGTATCCTGTTGCCACTTTTTCTATTAAATTCTCCATAGGAAAACATAGTTGAATATACAGTATGTGCAGGATGCTTGTCCATTTTACAGCCTTAAACAAGCTCTCAGGTATTAGTGAGTCTTAGAAAGAGCCGCCTGTGACCCGACTGCATTCACCTTTTGACCTCACATCACATCTCTATTATCCCAGCATTGTAGAGGTGAATAAGACACTGCCTGCAGCCTTGACTCAGCTCTACAACTCAGTGAGTCAACGGTGAACTGAGACGACTTCATAGTCAGAAAGGCAGCGATTTTACTTACTCACAATACAAATTTCAATACTTTCAGCCAGACTGATGGCCTCTGTTATTTTTTTTGTTCTCTCTTTACAAATAACTTCTTTGACTACAAGTGGAATCAAATACCTTAACATTATTACTAAGCATGCCTAATTTGAATTAAATATCTCGAGATAATCATCTGCCTCATGCCTCGTCAATATCATAGTCTTTTAAGCTGGTGTAAATTACATTACAAATTTGCATTCTTTCAAATTCACACCAACAGTGACTGATTGTATTAATATAGTTGCTACAATAGTGACTTAGAAATTGCATTTCATATAAGAATCCTGAAAGAACCTTTTATGAGCTTGTGGTAACTTGTTAAACTTGTGTAAGTTCAACCATTTAAATCAGCAGCACAAAGCTCTGAATGGTGCGTACAAAGCCAGATATGAATGACATCCAAAGCATGTTTTGAATGCCTTTATGTTACACCATATGAGAGGAGTTTCAAATGGCTTTCATCAGTTTTTCTAATGTCATTTTTTTTTTCATTATCATTCCAGAACAATTCAATCTTTTCCAAGTAGAGGTATTCATGTCATCTGTTGCATTTTTTTTTCATACCACAATATATATTACGGGAACGGAAAAACTGACATTGCAATATTTAGTATTTCTGCAACATATATTGCAGTATGAAAAAAATACAGGATTCTTCACCAGATGACTTGAATTTATTATTAAAAATCTCCAAAATTCCACCATTTATGAGTCAATTTATGTAAAAACGGAATAGATCTTCACGTTTTAACTTTCCACTGTCATTGAACTAACCATATGATTTTCATCAAAATAATTTTAGTCGGGCGCCGCTGTAGTTCACCTGGTTGAGCTGGCGTCCCATGCACAGGGGCTGTAGTCCCCAGTGCAGCAGCCGTGAGTTCGAATCCGGCTCATGGCCCTTTGCTGCAACCCCTTCCCCCATTCTCCTCCCCCACTTTCCTGTCTCTCTCTCGACTGTCCTATGTAATAAAGGCAACAAGGCCAAAAAATAATAATTTTTTAAAAAAAATCATTTTAGTCTACATGTCTCATTACAAAAAATACCACCACAAATAAACCATTTGCACTGATCAGATTTTGCAAATAAATAAATAAAAACTTCTGAGCTCCTCTGTGCCACTGAGAAGCCATGAGTGACTCTGCTGAGCCCAACAATCACATGACAAAAATTTTGGGAGTTTTTTTGCAAAATTGTGCTGAACTTTCATTCATCCTCTGTAACAACAAACTGAGTATATTTGGGTTGTGGGCAAAACAAAACATGCAAGGACCTAGGCTTGGGCTTTGAGAAACACTGATCAACTTAAAGGCCGGACAACTAATCGATCAATCCAGAAAACAATGGAAAACAGTCACCAGTGGTGGCACATTTCTACAATGTAACCTACAGAACATAAAAAAGGGGGGAAACAGTAGCTCCTAATGCACTGTCCCCCTGGTTATAAGTGCACTTCTTGCATTTAATTTTCTCTCCACACTGTCAGGTCAGAGTGATTAACCTCTTGGCTATCTAGCAAAATTTCCCTTATAGTATTCAAATACCTGCCAAGTGTGATTGTGAGCTGGGAATGTGCCAGTTTTGAATGCTGACGCTGTTGGCACAGCAGAGCATAAACGTGAGAACATATCTGTCCATACCTCCAGCTGCTGTTTTGAACATTGTGCTAGCACATGCACTGGACTGTCAAAGGGATAACAATCAACAACAACAACAACAACAGTTTTAAAAAAAAAAAAAAGTTGCACAGTGCTACAAACTGAGGCCACAGTGGCGTGAAATGACGGTACCAGTGTCCTGCGGTGCGTTTAAGTGCACTAAGGACGAGCTACCACCGAGGAACACAGCGAAGAGACTTAAAATAAATAGCATTTTGGCGTGTTGTTTGGGGGTGTTGGGGGGAGAGCAGGAGGGTGAGGAGGAGGAGGAGAGGAGGGAGGAGGTGTGTGTGAGCGTGTGTGCGTGTGTGTGCGTGTGTGTGTGTGTGTGTGTGTGTGGTGGGGGGGACCGTTGGTGAGTGAGTGAGTGCGTTACATGAAAACAAAAACACAGAGACACGGGTTATCGCTTCGGGGAGGTTCAAATCTAACGCCCCGTTCGCCACAAAACCGAGGTGTGTGTTCAGAAAACGCAGCCCGCAGTCAGTTTTCATGTCAGCACAAACAATAACGTTCACGGTTATCTTACCCGTCTTTGCGCTTAGCTTTATAAACGTGCCCGTAGGTGCCTCGACCCACTTTGCAACCTTCATATTCGAACAGATCTTCTACTCTCTCTCTCTCGGCCGCCAGCTTTGTTTTGAAGTCGTAATCCATTTTAACCCATAAATACGTCTTAATTTACAATAAAATAAAATATTAATTATTACATGCATTAATTAAATAATCTGGTCGTTTTATTCCCCCACCATTTCCTTGTTTGGGATTTTGGTCTGCTCCGCTTAATGTTCACTGGCTCGTTGACGTTTCTAATTGGCGCGAAGGGCTCGCTGGGTAACGTAGTTCACACTGGGCAGGCGCCGCCGTTCATACAGCTGCGGAGCGGACAGGAAGGAAACTACAACCCGCGTTTCTCGCTGCGGTTTGTTGCACTTTGCGTACTCATGAACGCTCTTCAAAAATGCAGCCATCGGTGGTTTGAGTTTACTGTCGCCTTTATTATTGGCCGATGAAATGCAATTTAAAACATTATTATTATTATTATTATTATTATTATTATTATTATTATTATTATTATTATTATTATTATTACTACTACTACTACTACTATTATTATTATTATTATTATTATTATTATTATTAGTAGTAGTAGTAGTAGTAGTAGTAGTAGTATTGATAACGTCATAATAATAATCACAAAGGGTATTATTATTACTATAATGTGTTAAGAGGGCAACACTCCTTAAAAAAACTTATGTTTGCAATATCATTCTTTATATTTGGTTGCTAAATGGACCTGTGCATTTACAATTCTACTAAGTATAGGCATAGAACACTTTATTCATAATACCTGTGCAATCTAATATGACCGCTCTGTTCAGTTTTTATAATAGTTTGATATTTTCAAAAAGGTGATTGCCTAAAATGGTATGGTATATTTTCAGAATATTTCTATAACAGCATTGATTTGCTGCACTTGCTTGAAATTTGACTTGCAACATTTGCTTTTTTTTTTAATTATTATTCTTATATAAAATTTTGCTGTTATACACCAAAACACAAGGTCAGATTCCTTCTGTACAAAAACCTACCTGGCAGTAAAATAGATTCTGTTTCTAATAATTCTACTTCATATGTAATACTACACACAACATGGATGGTGGTGGTTTACTGCACTGCATTATTTTGAAAATGGTATCTAATAATTTAGAGAGGTTTTAGGAACAGTTCTTTTCACTTTCTGGCGATTTTACCACATTTTAAAATATATATATATATATTGAGGTTCCTAAACACAGAAATTATGGCAGAACTCTATTTGATTGCATTAGATTGCACCAGAGTTCTGAAGTGCTTAGAGAGTGTAAACCCACAAATATAGTTATGATGATGTCATAAAATGCAGTCCAATATCATGTGATGAAATGCAATCACTGTGTATTTTCTTTCACTACAAGCCTAACACTTTTTGTTTAACCAGAAATTTTCATTTTGTATGTAGCAATCGTATCCAGTAGTACATGTTAAACCCTTAGTGTTTCAGTGTAAGGCAGCTGGACATCTTTTTAGTCCTTAAAGATGTCTCAGTTCTCAGCCAAGAGGCTTCCTCAGTTCTGACAAATGGTGAGTCCCGGGTATTTATTCTCATCCCTAAATCACATAGCTCAGGGCCCGTTCATTGATTTTGAGAGGAAGAATACCTAGGACTCTCCTTCAGCCAGTTAGAACTGAGGACGCCTTTTGGATGAGAGTTGAGACGTCTTCAGCAACCAAAAAAAGAATTCCAGTTGTCTCCTACACTTGAGGCACTTACCAAGTGCACTTACCGTGACCTGCATGACTGAGAAGCTGCACAAACATATTAGCTACATGTATAATTTAGAGTCAAAATTCTGTAATTGTTTGGAGTGCAAACAATACTTTTATGTACTAAGGCAGTGCAATGGTAAGGGCTTGGAATAAAATATGTAATCCATCAGAACAGAACACATACTTAACAGAAATGTACATTGAAGCTGTAAAATATAATATTTATATGACAAATAGTCAGATATTTAATATATATATCTATATATATATACAGCAAATAAAGGTTAGTCGCGTTAATATTATTATAATATTATTCAACAATACAATATAAACAGTGTTTTATCTTTTGTGCAGTGCCAGTCGGCTGTAACCAACGTTACACGAGGAAAACCCTCTTTTACAGTGATTGATGGGTCTGTGGACCAATCATATATCACATTGTGTAGCTCTATGATCCGATTGGTTCAACGCGATACTGACGTAGACGCCACAACCATATAAAACCACCGCGCGTTCACCATTCAGCGCTCTACACAGTATGGCCGGCGATATTAGCTAGCACTCGCTAACGGTGTTCTCTGCAAAAGGGAAGACGGTAACTCAAGAAAATCAACACCCGGAATTGCTCAAAGGACTGTACCTCAATAAATTATAACCGATCGAGGAAGGATTAATTAAGCTGTAGACGTTACGACCGACGTTTAATATTTTTTTGTGTGTGTGTTGGGTGTCTGTCGTCTCATGATGGAAGATAACGGTGCACATTTCTTCGAGGGGACCGAGAAGTTGCTGGAGGTGTGGTTCTCTCGGCAGGATGAGACCAAAGGAACCGGGGATCTCCGCACCATCCCAAGGTTTGTGCCATTTCAAGCGCCTCAGGTGGAGTGCGAGACCTCGGTAGCGCTGGCGGAAACGCCGGCCACATGTTTGGCTTCGTTCCCTCAATTCATTCATGTCATGTAACCAATCAGGGTAATAAAATGTCGTTTTCCGGAGGCGTTTTATTCACTGTGACGACGACTTTAACTTTAGTTAGCTAGCTAGGAACAGAACCAGACTGTAAGAGCAGTAAGCTAGCTAACATCGTCATTCGAAAATGGCCACCTCCCCCTTTAACGGTGGCACCTCAGAGCTGAGTCATTCATTCTTCACCCTGGGAATTTCTGATAATTAACATTTCGTTGTGGCGATGTGATGTCTGGTTTGTTGTGCTGGCCAGCAGATATATCGCCTCGGTGCATTAGCCGCCTTGACAGCAAGTTGGCAGCCCGTGGTTAGCTAGCTAACTCCGGCTAGTTCCTGGGAGAAAATGTCAAGCTGCTGCTGCTTTCTCGCTCTATATATGACTCAGGAGGTCTGGTGTGTCATTTAAAAGAGTGACTGTTGTATGTATAATTATCTGTCGGCTCATTTTAGTTTTAATATTAGGCGGGATTGTTCCTTTCTTATGCTTTTTCCCCCTGTAACCCCCCCCCCCTTATCTGTGCGCACGCGTTTTATTACCCCCGCATTGCTTTTTGGTTTCGTTTGAATTAAACCAACATGCTAACATATGCTAAGCTACTTGTTTTAGCTAGTGAAGCGAGATTTTGGGTAAAATGGCGTTTTTTGGGGGGTGTAAGTGGACAGGTTATTTTATTCTGCGTCATTCTACAACGAGGGGGGCCCTGTGTGAAGATGTGAAGCATGTGGTCGCCCGTCGTCACCGCGTGTTGCCTCGGTGGCAGCGACCAACACGGACGCGCATCCAAGTCATAGATGGGTCCCATGTTTGTGCACAACCAGAGGAGGATATGTGCTGCTGTTAACAGGAGTGGCACTAGGGTTTTGGCTGGATCTTAAAAAAATAAATAATTAAGTACGTGACAGTTTATGACCCTGCAATGCCAGAGCTTCTGAGTCACCTTCGAGTTTTTTTGGTTTGTTTTTTGGTTGTTTTTTTTTTATGGGCTGTGCACCCATGACTGATAGGGAAGTTCTTCCCTCCACATGGCAGCTCCAAGACCTGCTGGGTAGGTTTGACTAAAATTGCCCCGTGGTCCTTGTTCCTGTCACGTTTCCAGACATGCAGGCACTTCCCTCCCAGTTTCTCTGATTGGTTGGAGGGTCTCCCTGCTGTGATTTGCATTCAAGGGAAGGAGGTGGTGGGACACTCAGACATATCCATGACCTTTGCCCCCTGTGCAGCACCCAAAAAATCCATTTATTACTCAAACTCTAAAAATCTTGTGCCAACTGTAATAAAGCTGGTCACAGGTGATAAACAATTATTTGGGCTAGCTGTGTCACTGTTAGGTGCTGAGTAAAATGGCCGCAGAGGCTGGACTGGTATTTATTCTCCAGTTTGACAGCAGTTGATATTGGTGTTGACAGAATAATGATTTACAATAGCAACAGCTGGTTAGCAGCAGGGCTAATTATTTTCATTGTTGATTACATTCTCGATTGATCAATTAGTTCTATAGCATGTGAAATGTCAGAAAATGGTGAAAAAAGGTTCCTAAAGCCCAAGATGACATCCTCAAATCTTTAGTCCTTAATACAAGTATTTGGTTTACTGTTATAAAACGAGCAAACAACCAGAAAATAGTCACATTTAAGAGCTGGGGTCAGAATATAGTAGCTGGTGACATCATCCGTGGTTGAAAAAGAAAAAAAAACCCACTTCACTTGCACTTTCTGTTAAGTCTAAATTGTCTGATCCTTTAAGAGGCTGACATCTTGTCCTTTCCCTTTTTCCCCCTTAGTAATGTGTAACTCCATGACTCGTCTGTGGCAAGGTTCAAGGCCGACTCGGCAGCCACTATGAGTGACTTTTCTGGTCATTAACCAGATCACAGAGGTCGGTTCAAGAGAAATGTGTGGGCCAGTCGGGTGAATGAGGACTGGCATTAATTTACAGCCAGAGGGCAGATTAACGGCTCAGAGGGACACTGTCAGTGGATCAGGCTCACTGGACGTCAGCCAATGTCCAAATAAGTCCACAAGGGCATCTGATTCACAAATGTGGAGCTTGCTCACATTACCTCCGCTGCCATTCCTCAGGGCTCGATGGCAGCGCACGGTCTGCCCGTAGTGATCGTCAGACAGCATTAACAGATCTAAACACTTCAGAATGTCTCCAACACTTTCTGTCAAGCACTGCCATGGCAGATATTTGTCAAAAGCAGCCGACGTTCCAAGAATCTCTGCGATCCTGATGAACCCACGTCTGCTGGGTGTGGATGAAAACACCTTGGTAGCGTTTGGCAGTCTAATCTTTTACCAGGTCCTTTCCTGGAGACCACTCTTTCTTTGAGGAAAAGCTGATCCTGCTGAGGGACCAGAAATAGCCTACGGTGTGCATTTCACACTGAAATGGGAGCTGACACAGGTCTCCGGTAACGTTGTCCCTCTGGTATGAAGCTGGGAAGCCGGCATGTTGCAACAGCTCTGATGTCACGTTGTGTGAAATAGTGAATCATAAAACACTAAGTGGACAGCATCATACAGTGGAGCTTAGGTTTGTTTATCTGAAGGGATAATGACAAAAGCTGTGTCTGAGGTCATATTAAAGAAGGAATAGTCCCATGTCGGCTGTAAGACCAGTCGAGGTCAGATCCTTATCTTGTTTTCAGTCATAAATGGTAAACATACAACACAAACAAATTCCAACGACACTGTCTCACTTTCCTAAATGTCTGAATCAGCCTATGATCAAGAAGTAAGATGTTGTGCAACTACAGCTGCCTTGTTGGCTTGCCAGCATACTGTGGTATCCAGTTATATAACTCTTTGCGGTAAGCAAATTAAATTAGGTTCATTAGTCTTTGTGTGTGCTTTTTATCAGCATGATGTTTCTCAGAAATCTGAGGCCAAACTGAACCAACCAGAAGAAAGGTGGTTTCTGAACATCGCCTGGTGACTCAGGAGACTGGTATCTGTTGGCAGACATGTTGACTTGTCGCTGCAGGAAAAGCAAAGATGAAACGGTTTGAATGAACCGTGGATCACTGTCATACTTTACTGGCACATGTTGTGGAGTGTGCCTGCACAGGTGAACCCAGGTGAAAGCTATTCCCCATGAATGGAATGTAGTGGGGGGTTTTTGTTTGTTTGTTTGTTTTTTGTTTTTGTTTTGTTTTTAAGTGAATGATCGAAAATGAGCAAACATGTCTGCTGTGAAGTGGTGCTTGGATTCTTCAACTGCAGTGTAAACAGTCTCCTCCAAGTCATACCCAGCTGTCGGTGGTTTTGGTTCCATTCAAACGATGCACAAGGCAGCGAAAATGGTTGCAAAGTCAGTGCAAATCTGTGTTTTAAAATCTGAGGTACTTTGATAAACATGGCATCCTTGTCTTTTGTGGCTTTGTCACTTTTTATTGGGGTTTTTTTGGTCGTCCGAGTCACATCTGTGTGTTCTACAGTGAGTTGTTCTGTTTTCAGTTGAAGCAGAGGTGGCAGTCAACAGACTTGAACCTCGTAGTTACATCTGAGAGTTGCACACCACCCGGTTGCCTGCAGCTTCCAGTTTAGTAAAATTATTTTGTGGTGTTTTTTTTGTTTGTTTTTTTTGGGGCATTTTTGGTGGTGATTTGGTGGTGGCTGTTTTTACATCACTCTTGAGTGAAATGTCCTCCAAGTTTCAGGGTGTGTTTATTTATTTAGGTGCACATTTAGGTAAAACAGGTGACCACAACCAGATATAGTTTCAGTTGTCGACAAGAAAATGATTTGCAGTTTCCACCTGCTTTCTAACCGGTGTCATCAATCGCATTTAAATCACCGCTGCTCACTGTCCTGTTAGTCACAGAGGTTCATTTCTCGTTAGTGGGTTCCCCAGAAAAGGGGCTGCCGATTCATGCAGCCCCCGTCCGTCTCTCAGAGGGAGTGTAAACCATGCAACTTCGGCTGCTGGTAAATTCCCCATTGAGCGCTGCACTTCTCGCGAGCTTTCTCCAGCGGCCCGGGCTGAGCTTTGAATGGGCCCAGGCTGCTCTTCCAAGGTTGTAATGAGAACGTGACGCAGCTGCATTTGCACTGCAGCTGTCTTTGAGTGGTGGTGGGAGGAGGGGGGGAGAGGTAGCAGCAGGGGCAGCAGCAAGAAGCAGCCTGTTGTAGACGAGAGCACCAGCAGCTCCAGCTTGTCATTTTCAGATTCCCAGGAACGACAAACCAGAGCCAATATGCAAAAAGCACAAATCCACATTACCTTGCAGCACTCCTGCACAGAGAAAAGCGAAATACCTTGTAGTAGGGTTCACTTCCTAACTGAAACAAGGCAAGAAATGTGGTAAAAAGATGCCATAATGCTAAATGCTGCCTTCTTTTTTTCCTCTTTTTAGGTTTGAGTGGGACAAACTTCTGGAGAATGTGCATTGTTTGATCATAAGTGTGACAAAGACGGACAAGCAGGAAGCTTATATACTCAGGTGAGTGTTTGGTCTGCACTTACAGGACGTCTCCCCTGTTTTCCTGATTAGACGGCAGGCGGGATTAGACAGCGGTCACCTGTAAGCCGCTTGCCGTCAATGGAAACCGTCTCCGTCTCAAGTGATGAGACAGACCTACAAATACTATACATCACAAGCTGCATAGACTCCATTTCTAAATTATATCTGATGGAATCATTACTGATAGAAGTACAGCTAGTCTGATATGAGGCCAAAGTTGAAGCCAGCAAACTACTCTGCTAATAATAGAAAATGAAACTACTCTGGCAGGGTAAACAAATTAGTGACTTTACTTTTGGTTATGTGACAGTTAGTTTTTTGTTTTTCCCTTTTTTCCACCTCTCGTAGTGTCTAAATCAGACTACTATGCTTTTTTTTCTGATTTCTTCAGACCTACGTTGGTATGAGACAGGTGGGATTTCCCACAAGCATGTTGTCTTAGTCTACAGTCACTGTACCTCCCTATAATTACTGCTGTGCTGTGCGGCGGAAACATCTGTGTGGCAAGTTAAAACTTATGAAGAATTCTGCTTTAGCTCCTCTTACATCCATCAGGGATGGGTTTCTACTGACATGTAGGTTCACAGCTCAGTATCGGCTCAACTGGTCAAAGCTGTTTGATCATTTTAAAAATATGTGTTGTAAAGATAGTGGTGTGTAGGAGGAGTAAAAAAACCAGGTAATTATTGTTTGTTTTTCATAGTAAACACCTTCCTTGTGTTTGTTTGTTTTCCATTTACAGTGAGAGTAGCATGTTTGTCTCCAAGAGACGTTTCATTTTGAAGACATGTGGAACCACCCTCTTACTGCAAGCACTGGTGCCTCTGCTGGAACTTGCCAGGGAGTACTGCGGCTTCGATACCATCGAGGTTAGACACGTGTTTGTATATGTAGAATACTTAACGATCATGCACATACGGAAGCTGAAATTCTGGAGCTCCTCACTGGTGCTTGGAGCTGATGTGGGTTTATAGCACTGATCAGATCGTATTTTCATCTTTGCAGAATTTCTTCTACTCCCGCAAAAACTTTATGAAGCCAACCCATCAGGAGTTCCCTCATCGAAACTTCCAGGAGGAAGTCGACTTTCTCAGCCAGATTTTCCCAAGTATGTAACACAGCCATATTTGGCTTGTTCCTTCTTATACAACAACACTCTGAAAAAACATTTTTAGAAGCAGACACGGAGTATCTGTCAGCCTTAAAGTTTTAAAATAAATTGAAGTCAGTTTTCTCAAAATGAGCTATAAATTACATTTGGTTTTTCTGAAGGCTGTAACATCAGTTTTTTTAAAAACAACTGCTGGAAAGTGCCCCCAACAAAACACTGTAGTTCCAAACATTATGTAAAATTTGTCCTTAAATTGATTAGTTATATTTTTAAATGGTCCAATCCATTTATCAGTCTATTTTCTGCTTCTTATTCAGGTTGGGATTGGGCTTTAATATTTAATAAATCATTAAGAATTTCTGTTTTATACCGCAGGGAAGTGCTGACTATGAATTTTTCATAGTTTGGCCAGTATAGCCATGAAATGAGAACTTAGTGGCACTCTTTGTGTAACTGCATAAGTAAACCCTCCTAGTGGTTCCTGCAGAAACACTGAAGTGATCTGATGCCTCTTTTGATTTGAATTCATGCATTTCTGTGTTGATGGAGAACAAAATCCAATTGACTGAGCAGGCAGTACCACATTTTGAGACTTTGTTTGAAGCAAATGTCAATCATATTTATTCCCCGCCTTCTTTCTCTCACTCTCAGATGGTGCAGCCTACTGTATGGGACGTTTGAACTCTGACTGCTGGTAAGCGTCACATTATCCACACTGGCTGATACTTGATGTGTAGCCTCAGCATTGCTAATAAGAGTGGATATTTATGCAGCAGAAATTAAAACACATTATGCTCTCCAGTAATGTAAAATGTTGTAGAGATTTTTATGTTTCTGAAGAAATCAATGATCTGACAGCTAATTCTAGAGTCTGCTGTGTTGCTGCACTATTTTAGCCAAAGCAGAATGATGCTAAATGAAAGTTTTATTTCAATACTGATGTAACTACTGCATCTAGTATAGCTGTGAGAAGCTGGTTAAAAAAAAGTCTTTAAATGTAAGCATCTTCAGATTATCCTCAATGTGTCCTCCCCATTTGATACAAAAAGCCTGATTGATCCCTGCGTGTCTCACAGGTACCTGTTCACCCTGGACCTACCGGAGTACTGGGAGAACAAGCATGCGGATCAGACGCTGGAAGTTCTGATGAGCGACCTCGATCCAGCCATTATGGACCAGTTCTACATGAAAGATGGTGTTTCTGCAAGTGATGTCACTCGTGTAAGTAGATCTCAAAGTCAGTGTTTGTTTCAATACATGTAGGCTCTGTTGTGAGAAGAATCCATTTGGGTTTGTCAACACACGTGAGCAGCCATGAAAGGCTTAAAAATTACTACTTTCTGTTTACAATCTGCTTCGCTCCTTTTACAGATGAGTGGAATTCGTGACCTGATACCAGGTTCTGTGATTGACGCCACAATGTTCAACCCTTGTGGATACTCAATGAATGGAATGAAGACTGACGTGAGTGACACTTGTGGTGGTTGTTTTCTTCTCCTTCTTTATCTGTGTGGCGTCACCAAGCATTTCTGTAATGCGGCTATACTCGTCTCCTGCAGGGAACTTACTGGACCATCCACATCACCCCGGAGCCAGAGTTCTCCTACGTCAGCTTCGAAACCAACCTCTCCCAGACGTCGTACGATGATCTGGTCAGGAAGGTCGTGGAGGTGTTCAAACCAGGAAAATTTGTGACTACGCTTTTTGTCAATCAGGTGGGTTTTAGAGTGCAAGCTTGTTTTTAACTCTGTGATTTTAATTGAAAGTGTCACTGAGTAAACTCTGTTTTTACTTCTGTGTTTGCCTCTGCAGAGCTCCAAATGTCGCAGTGTGTTTTCTTCTGCCCAGAAACTCGAGGGCTTCAAGCGTCTCGACCGCCAGTTGGCTCAATTCAACGATTACAATTTTGTCTTTACAAGCTACACCAAGAACCGCCAGCAGAACCAGCAGAGCTGAGGGTTGAGGATGAAGAAGAGGCGCAAAAAGAAAGGTGTCCCTTCGGGGCTCCTCCCTTGCGGCCGGCTTCATCCCCCAGTAGAGAGCTTGTCGTCTTCCCTTTCCTCCTCCTCCCCCCTCCCCCTCTGCTGCTGTCGTCGCCCTGAGTCTCCTGGCGGCGCCGTGGCTCCTAGTTTAACCTCCAGTTTGAGTTGTTTGCATTGTTGTACCTGTGACTTAGATCTCTTGCATGAAAGCTCTTTTCTCTGTTTCGATATTCTAGCTCACTCTTGCTGTGATCTTGAAGTGCATGTAGAGGAATTAAACACGCTCTGTTTGAGGCTGTCCACCTGTGCCCAGTACAACGGTCCCTTCCTGCAGGTCTCCCCCCTCATTCCCCACAGACAAGGCTTCCGCCCACACTAGGCCAGGGCCCTGACATGCTCAGATCCGTCTGCCTCTTATACGCTCACCTCAGCTCGTCCATTAGTTAAAACTTCAAATTTGACCCCAGCATCGAAGTCACTTTCCAGTGTGACGGTTGGGAGTTCTGAATCACTACCAGTGTTTGAGTGCACTTTAAAAAAAAAAAAAAAAAAAAAGACTGTTCATGGTACGAAAAGAAGGCCAACCTTCTTGTCTCAAGTCTGATTGAATGTATAAGTCACGGTGAGCTTTTTGGCGTCGTCGGGACACATGCCATGCTTCCTGCTGAATGTTGCACTATTGGATCAAAGGTTTGCATCTTATTGGTCAGTGTGTGGTCTTTGGTTGCTGTTAACTGCACTAAAGCAGAAGATTTCTGCTTTGCTGGGCTTTGAAACTCTTATCCCCCCTCCGCGCCTCATTCATCTGTGCTCCTCCACTTCGACAATCATAGTGTTTCTCCAAATAGACCGTCTTTTATGCCTGGAAAAAGCAAGCATATGATCATTTAAGATAGTGAAAAAGCGCACTTTGTTGGACCCATGCTTCTTCTTTTATTTTTATTATTATTTGAAACACATTGTTCTGTTTCTATAGGAAGCTTCTGGGTCTTTAAAGTCCCCCCCGCAGTCATACTCAGCAGTCCAAATTTTCACCTGAATTGGTTAAAACTGAATGTAGCACAAGCGGTGCAAAGTCCACCCGTCTTTCGAATGTACATGTCTCTAGAGAAAAACCTGGACCAGGTTTGAGCTGAATGTACGACTCCAGGAGAGCACGCCTCCCCCCTCCCCACCGTCCTCCTCCTCTTCCTCCTCCTCCATCCCACATCCACACAGAGCTCACAATGCCCTCTGCTGACCAGCCATTGTCTGGCTCGCAGCAGGTCGCCCCCACCAACCGCCACCACCACCGGAGTCAGACTGGCCCCAGAACCGTGACACTGTCGAGAGCCGGCCCTCCTGGCTGCGCTCTGAATGGGAAATAATGAATCGGACACTTTTTGCTTAGTTGCCCAGCAAAGCATTTTTCTTTTTGCCACATAATATCCATCCTCTCTCTGTCTCTTTCCGCCCCATACAGAAATCTGTAAGCGCACAATAGAGGCCCACCAGTCTGAGCATGCCAGGGTGATCCCAGATCATTCCACATGTAACCGCTGCATAAACTGCCATTTTATTAAATTTATTGTGCCCAGACGTTTTTTGCAGTGAATCGGTCGAAAATGTGACTCCCCTAGCAGTTTTATTTTTTTCTTTTTTGTTCGCATCAATGCCCTTTGTTCATCGAGGGGGAAAATCCTGTGACACTATGGTGCATGTGACTGCTAGTGCCGTGTTGCTTGACAGTGTAGTGTAGCGCCGTCTCTTCCTCCCTTTTTTTTTTTTTGTTTTTTTTTTGTCAGTAGGTCTGTGTGCTTCACCTTCCTCTTGTTTTACCAGCTGAAAGCATCGTTGGAACTGCCGCATCCTGATGTGTTTTGGATAGGCAGGGATTTGGTTTTATTTTTTCTTACAGGGGTCGGGTTAACTTGTAATTAATCTTAGCTTAGCTGCAGGGTAAAGAAGTGCTGAAAGCAGGTTAGGTTTGTCTTCACCGCCTGCTGTTCAGTTTAGTGGCGTTTGCATTTCTTCTCCTGCCAGAGGATGCAATTTGAATTTTTCTGAAGACATGGCAGGAGTGTTAACCTGCTTTCAACACTACAATGCAGTACAATCTATTCTCTAAAATATGTGCAGATTTTTTTTATTTATTTTTTTTTAAATCACCCGAGGCACATGGCATGCAAGTTGGACCAGAAGATGAAGTTGTTCATGTAAGAGCTGGAACTTGGAATAGTTTCCCTCTAGTTTGTCTCTTATGGCGTTTTGGAGTGGTTTCATTCTTTTCCTGAGGACCAATCTCTGCTCTTAGATGAACCAACATCAACTTGCTGTCATGTGAGGGTGATCTGCTATTTAAGAATTGAAACTAGCACTGTTCATACTCAAGGATTTCAATGCTAACTGTCGTTGGATTAAGTACATTTTAGCCTTGTTTGTGTGGATCATTGCTATTTGGTTTTTATTTTTTTATACAGTGAACTCAAAATGTATTTTTGCAGTTGAATTGTAATAGAATTTTATGCAAAAAATATTTTGTATTTTTGCTGCGGACCAATCTTTTTTTTTTTTTTTCCCTTTTCTTTTCTTTCTTCCCTTTGTGTCCAAATGTGTATTTTGTTGTTAAAGAAAGTGTTCCAAAACTACCTTGTTCTGAAGTTGAGGACTGACCTTTTCAAAGTTGACTAAATCGTGTTCTTATATATTTTATCTCTTTCCTTTCCTTCGTTTATCTTCTAAGGAAGGGAAAGTCAGAAAAGTCCCCCCCCCCCCAGGTGAGAGAGGGTGCAGTTGCAGGATGTATCAGGATGTACTGATGGAGAAACTTTGCTGTTCTAATTCTTTCTTTTGCTGTTCTTTGGATGGTCAAGATGTGCTAAATATATCTGTGCTACGAGCTTGATGCTTAAATAAAAGATACTTATCTGTGCAGTCGCTGTGTTGCTTTATTTGATGTACTTTTGTACAGAACAAAGATTTTCTATCATTTGTAATTGTAGTCTTTATTAATTTAAAAGCACGTTGGATAAAGAAGCTGCCATCTCACCGACCTTAACAGTCACTGTAGAATCAATAAATGCACACATCTAGAGATCTAAAGAGCCTACTTATACAAAGTGCGCTTGTATGTTAAATAATAGTGAAACAGATGAGCCTTGAACATCTTCATTGACATATTCCTATGTGGCTAAAAAGAAAGCTGAAGCCGCCTACGCATCAGGAAGTAATCAGATTACGCCGATAGTATAATGCTTGCCTCTTAAGGGGAAAGTCCACGGATTTATAATTGTAATGCTTGAGCAGGTTCAAGAGAAATCAACGCAGCAGAAAGAGTTCAGTCTTTATTATGTGTCAAGCTTCAAAGGATCCTACATTTCCCATAATGCTGTGGAAATCCTGAAAACCTGAGATGGAGGAAGCTCGGGCCAACTTCATTCACCTCCTCTGATGTTACTCAATATAGCAGCAGACTATATTAGTAAATGACGCTGACATTGATACTTAAAATAAAATTACTCCACTACAAGCGCCTCAGCAGAAATACAGATTAGTATTACTATTTTTACTTGGTATATATTACTATTGGATTCAAGTCAGGCTACGAAGCCAGTTTTTTTTTCTTCTTTTAAAACACTTTTTTTTTTGTCAGTATGCTTTGGAACCTTCTCATGCTGGAATATTATATTAATATTTCTGCCAAGCTTCTGCAGACCGGGAGTCATCTTGTCAGCCAGTGTTTTTTGTTTTATCCACAGACATTCATGGTGCCATCTATACATGTCATCTCCCCAACATTTTTTGCACTCATGCAGCCCCATATTGTCACACTCCCACCTCTGTGCTTCACTGTCAGGACTATGCATTCACTGTGATAGTCCTGACCAGGTTTATGCCAAACACGCTGGACCCCATCTAACAAATATATCTTTGTCTTATCTGACCACAGAATGTGTTCCCGTATTCATCAGGTGTCTTGTTGAGTTCTTCAGCAACATTTCATTTGGCAAGCAAGGTGGTATTTCATGGTAGCCCTCTGTAGAGGCTGGTGTCATACACTGTCTGAGCTGTCACTGGAACTCTGTTTTCCATCGATAATCCTTGTTTCAAGTCTGAAGCACTTTCCGTTCTGTTTTTCAGAGGTAGATTGTGCAAGAAGTGCACTGTCTGTGGTGTCACTTTAGGACGATCACCAGTCCAGCTCTGATTAGTGGTACTATGGATTGTTCTATACTTCCTGATTCCTGCTTCATCTGTGTCTTGACTCACTATTAGCTGCTCACAGATCTTCTCATATCCCTTTCTATCTTTGTGAAAGTCACACAATTAGATTATTCAGTTTATCAGTCAGTTATTTTCCACGTGGAGTCATGATGCAGACATGCAGTTGCTAATAGGTCCAAAACTAAGATAGTTCTGGTGTTCACAGGTCATAACTATGTTCATGCAGTTAGACTAATTGGAAATTACAGATGTACTCAGTTTCAGTGATTGTAGGTTTTCTAACTTGTGTGTCACTGATCACAATTGTATTCACTTTGAGTTTCTACTTTGTGGCCTTGATTTCAAAAGCATTTGTTTCTGATTATTCTATTTGTTGACTTAGACATAGTGCAACTATTGAGTGGTGATACAATTTTAAATCATTTGGCATTTTAGTGATATTACACATTAATGTACTCACCTCAGCTCTCTGCTCTATGTGAGCGCCTCAGTATCTGCAGTTTAACTTGTCCTGCAGCTCCTCTGCTGGACGGTTTGTGCTGCAGGTGCAGGTTTGACACTAGGTGGCAGGGATGCGTCTGTGACCGGAAATCCTTCACCACTAAATACCACCGAAGAAGAAAACCAATGTTGTCTTCCGCCACCAGAGTTCACGTGGAGCAGCGTGAGGATTCCTGTACCTGCCGGCAGTAAAGACACAAAATGACGCAGTTAGACGGAGTAGTGTAAGTTTGGCAGCTCGTTCTTTGGGCTTTACTGTTTTCCAGTGTTTGTGTATATCGCCTCCATAGTTATTTTGTCTGGTGCGCGTGAAAGTAATGATGTAAAGGTTGCTAACGTTAGCCTAGCATGACGACTGTCAGCTAACTTAACTTGCCTTTAAGCAATGAGGTCTTATTTACACACCTTTTCTGATATGAAAGACTTTTTCTCTCAATGTGTTTTCGTTTCAAGTTGACTTGTATGTCTCAATATTCAGATTCAGTGTAACTTTTTTTTTAAAACTGTCGTTAGTTACATGTGTATAAAATTGATGAGCATTTATGGTTTTAAAACATTGAGACGAACGAGTGTTAATTAATAACCGAAATTCAGGGTCTGACAGTTTAATAATAAAGATGATTTAAAGTTAGATGATGCTTGCATTTGTTTAGAGGGAATTTTGAGCTTCCAGTGGCACGCAGATCTCGCACATTATAGTTAAATCAATAAAAGCCCCCAAAAGTGCTAATACAGTACAACAAAAGTATAAAGGAGGGGTATTGGAATCCTGGTGGATCCATGGACTATTACATTTAATTTCTGACAAAGCTTATGCAGTCTTGCATTGTTCAGCAGTTTGTGCCACTTCTTTCCAGAGCTGTTCAAAGTACTGTAACAGTCTTTAGGAGTCTGTACAAGAGCTTTAACTAAGTCCTCAGCTAAAAGTCACACACTTTACCCAATGAAAACAGGTACAAACATCTTTACATTGCTGCAAAGTCATGACTGGCTGTGTGAGGTGGCCAGCCTTCAGTCTTTGGTGTGTGTGTGTGTGTTGCCACCCGTTGGCTCTGCCCCTGACTATACAGTATTGCCACAGGCAGGCTAGCCATGGCCTCTTAACCTACAATACTTGCTCCTTAATCACTTTCTCCTTTTCACAACAACACTTTGGGGAACTCTGGAAAGAACCAACATTGATATTTTGTAGCATACAAAAGTTTTTAACAATATATCAGCAGGTTGAATATTAGATTAGATTAGATTGATATAAGTTTATTGATCCCTTTATAAACTTGTCACAGCTCTTGCACCTATTTGGTGTTTCTGTACTGCAGTTCCTAGTTATTTATCAGTCGACATGCACTTTATGCCGATATCAATACATTTACAAAAAGCTAATATTGGCCATATTACTCTAATACTATTTATATCCATGCAGCTAAAAATCAGTTGCTAATGTTAGGTGCAAAGGAAAGTATTTTCATTCTTTCCTTTTCACAGTTTTTACTGAACAATAATTGAGAACAGTACAGACTGTTGCTAATTAAAAGCTCCTCATAGCCATGTTTCATACAGAAGAACTTTCAATGCCGTTAAATGTCAGAGATCACGAAGATCAGGGCAGATTAATCTTTTTTCAGGGACTCACAAGTTGGGACTTCTAACAGTGTTCTGCTTGACACAGTTTTTTGTTTTCTGTAGCCTTCCAGTGCACTGGCAGTTTTTAGTCTCTAAGTGTGTCTTTCTGTATTCTCAGAAAACCCAAGACAAAGCGCTCAAAGCGCTTCTTGGAGAGCAGAGCACCCAAGCTGACGGAGGATGTGAAGACCACCATGATTATGAAAGGAGGGAACACCAGTCAGACGGTCACACAGGCCCTCAAAGACATAGTACGTAACCTGATGATGCAGGCTCTGAAGAAAACCTGCTAGGCATGAGGGGTTTTATAGAGATGCACAAATCACACTGTTGTTTAACTTCTAGCCCAATTATTGTAGTAATTATTGACCTGAATGTGATTTGTTTCGTTTTTGTTGCTGGCTAGATTGAAATGTGACTTGATTAGCAAACGTAAATAGATAGTAAATGCAACACAGAGAGGATTTTGCTGTTGAAATGACCAGTTTAAGTTTAGTGCATTAATGTGAGCAAATGTGTTTCCTGCAGTATTCCCTGAAGAAGCCCAATGCTGTACTATACAAAAAGTAAGTGATTCAAGGAAATTGTTAATATGATAAATGTGTCTTTTTTTCCCTCCAATTTCACCTTTTTATCAGTGACTGGGAAAGTATTAGTCTCACCAAGTCAGTTACCAGATTTACACCCGGTTAAGCATTTTATCTGCTAACTAACATCAGCTGAGGGCAGCTGCTTTGAAGGGCTGGAAAAGCATTTCTAAAGTGGATACCAAATGTTTAAGTATGTCACTTTGCTTGTAGACTTGTGGGAGGGCTCCACAAGCACATTTCAAACTTTATCCCTTTTATTTCCTTTGACCTTCATTTGTTATTACTGTTTGTACATCTCAGAACAGCTGATTAAAATGGTATAAAAGTAAAATAAAAGCTGAAAGCCAGTCCCTACTTTTCAATTTCAAGTTTCGCTGTAATGTAAACAAACTTTCGGAGAACGCTGTATTAAATAAGCCATAGAACACGGTGATCGTAAATTATCTGAAAGAAACTTTGATCAACGTCGTTAATGTCAGCATGCTGAAGTCTGTATGTGTTTTCCAGAAAGAACATTACTCGGCCGTTTGAGGACTCAACATCACTGGTGGGTTTATTGGATCACAGTTCATCCAAATTGCTTCATTGTTGCAGAATTTTTCACATTTTTGTGTTTTATGACTAATCATTTGAAATCTTTATTAGGAGTTTTTCTCCAAGAAGACAGACTGCTCTTTGTTTCTGTTTGGCTCCCACAACAAGAAACGGCCCAATAACTTCATATTTGGTAAATTCTGACGATTTCTTTCTTGTTCAGTTAGTTGGAAAGTAAATATGCACACACCAGCTCGTATGTAGATTCTTTATCTGCTATTTATGTTTTCAGATATACCCAAAAATGTTAGTGTGTTGCTGTATACTGTACTTTATGACTGTCACCTGTGGATTGTTAGGGTTCTAGACAGGACACATGTAGCCTAGTATCTGCTTCGTGTAATAATTATAATAAGTTCTGTACATTTTCCACATTCAGAAAATATCTGTGCGCAAGAAAGTGTATAATATAGCGCTGCTCTCAGTTTCGAAGGTCTCCAGACTAAATGGCATGTAATTGTTTTCTTTGTGTTATTTGCAGGTCGTCTGTTTGACTTCCACGTGCTCGATATGATTGAACTTGGAATTGAGAAGTACATCTCCCTGAGTGACATTAAGGTACTGGTACTACTTATACTGTTTGTTATCCGTTATAGGAAATTGGGTTTGTCCTGTAAGGAATCAGTGAGATGATGATATCTTTACATCTCCAAAATGAAATCACTTCTCATATACTTGTTAGTTTAATATAGATATTCTGCTGCTCATTTCGTCCCACTTGCCCCTTTTCATCTCTGGGGTCCCAAAGGTTTAAACTTTTACATATAGTCCCATATTTACTGTCATCCTTTTTTATTTTTATTCAGTTTAACACATCAGTGTCTGTGTCACTTTTCTAGATACCGGTAGTTGTGTTAAGATAAGGCACTGATGTAGACTGAAGGCAGCACCTGCAACCATAAAATGCCAATTGGTGTTTAGAGGCTGAAGCTGTTTCTTGACAAACAGTCTGTCCATCCATGCAGCATTCTGTTCCCGCGCTGTACCGCTGATTTCACTTGTGGTTGGTTTGGGGTCAAGTACAGAGCAAAGCTCATAACCTCATTGTGGTTCTGTTTGTGTTCAGGGTCACTAGTGAGATGTTATGAGCTTCACTAGTGTTTGTAGTGTAGACAGAGTCAGAGGAGGAGTTACAGCCACACGAATATCTTTTATTTTAACGTGCATAACTTTCACATCACTCATGTGCTTCACACTTTATTTACACCATATCTGCAAACAATATTTGATGTTTCTGCTGATTATAGTCTGAACTCTGGTGCAATATTACAGTTAAACATGTGGAACATTACATTGATATCAGTGGTGACTCGATTATCCAACACTAAATGTAAAACCTTCTTTTATGTCAGATAGCAAGGCTGTTGGATTGTCAAGACGGACGTTGAGATGCAAGGAGGGCTTGATGCTTGAACGAACAGGCAGTACTTGGCTGCTAATGCCAGTTTAGTTAGCGGTCACACTTCTGTTTCCACCACTGGTGGCGGCGGTGGGGGATAGAATACCACCACATACATGGAGATTACATTATAAATGTGCTGGCTCCGGTTGGACAATTACTTTTAAAAAAAAACAAAAAACTTTAAAATCACAAGATACGCTCCACTGTTACCATCCGTGTTTACTTCTGCTCGCGGCGTATAACGTCGTTGTGTCCTCTTCTGCGCATGTGGGGCACTTTCGGGTCGTATGACGTTCACACAGGAAATCACATACAAGTTGCAGTTAATTGGAAATGTGAACAAACTGGCAAAAAATCAGATTTCACAAAAAATCCTAATTGAGCATTAAGTCCTGTAGTCTGAACATAGCCAATCTGTCGGATTGTTAAGTCAGATAATACGCCGTTATCCTTATTTGTGACATAAAATGTCATGTCGGAGTCGGAATCCAAGGCTGTCGGTATGTTAAGGCTGTTTTTTTTTCTTTTGTCTTAATATTACATTTCTATGCACTAATAGGTGTAGCCCTCGTAATTTTACTGAATGCAGCATTTACAACACATTTCTGATTCTGCGACATTAGCGCTTCGTATCCACAATACCGTAACACATTAGAACTTCTAGAATGAACACTTTTGTGAATGCTGCTGATTCCTTTTAAGTTTGAAAACTCTGGGCAGGCAGAAATGGAGACTTTTGGAAGCGATGATGCAGACACTCCTGCTTGCTTTGTTATTGGCTCTTATTAGTTGCTTTGGAATGGCATAAACCACACACGCAGTTAACCCAACTACTACAACCGCATGGTATCACAGAAACAGATTACAAAACCTCAAGTTTAGGTTCTGTAAACCTACATTTAAGGGGGAATTATTGTATTACTGAGACAGTTTTTTTTTTTTAAAGAGTGGACCACAGATGCAGAGTTTGTCTGCAGCCTTTAAATTGCTTCCTAATTTCTAAAGTACCGATAGCAGAACCATTACTGTTGAAGCTTATTGATCCTCCTGCATTTGAATATTTAGCCTCTGGACTTGTGTTATACCAGGAATGTGGTACCCATGTCTGCTTCTGATGATGGAGGTGAATCCTGATAAAGTTATCCTGCTGTTAAATCTCATTTTTGTTCTGTGTCTTTTTTGTTTCAGAACAGTAAATGTCCTGAAGGCACCAAACCAATGCTCGTGTTTGCAGGGGAAGCTTTTGACACAGACAACGACCACAAACGTTTGAAGAGCCTTTTCATAGGTACACACTCGTGATGCTTAAAGAACGTGTGGTTATATTCAGACGTAGTTAGTCTTCATATCTCAGTGCTTTCTTTTGTGCTGCGTCGTAGACTTCTTCAGAGGTCCCACAGTGTCTGCAGTTCGTCTGGCAGGTTTAGAACATGTTCTGCACTTCACTGCCCTGGAAGGGAAAATCTACATGCGCAGCTACAGGTACTGAAATTAGAATTGTTCAAGAAATTGTGAAGATCGGGTTGATTTTCAATTTTTGTGTCCATCAGCTATTAATATTTCCCCCACACAACAGAGGTGCTAATTTAATGTGTGATTGCAGGTGTCTGTTGAAGAAGTCTGGTTGTCGGACGCCGCGGATTGAGCTAGAAGAGATCGGGCCGTCATTTGACTTTGTCCTCAGAAGAACACATCTGGCTTCAGATGACCTGTACAAATTAGCTCATAGACAGCCAAAGGCCCTGAAGGTAAATGTCACCAACGTAGTTCCTGGATGTTTTCCTCGATTCTCTCAGCTTTCTTTTGATGGGAAATTAGCATTGATGTAAAGAACAGTTAACGACTTTTTAATTCTGCCGTTACACAAAAAAATCGAAGAGATGGAGGACAAAATCCAAACTTGTCGTTTGGAGCAAAAACATCAAGTAGATCTTTTAAAGTTGCAGTCGTATAAAATTCCCTCCTGGATAATGTTCTTCTTCAGCGGACCAATGATAAGACAAATAGGAGGAACTCTGTGGAAGATGTTCACTTTATTCGTCTAACTAAGACTTCTGCAACATCATATAAGCTTCAAGTAAACCTTTGATTTTTATTTGGACTTTGTACCCTATCATTTTGAGGTCACTTACTTACAGCAAGTAAAGGCTGTTTCAGTGTTCACACAGGACCAAACTGTTTTAAGACAACCTGAAAATCTATGAATCTTTTATTCTGTCTGCTATATTTATTCATCTGTGCTCATGACCAAGCTGTTCATTTTAAACTTTACTAAAAGTCCTTCATATCCGCATGTGCAGCCACTCAAAGCTGCACAACAGAATACCAAATTGTTGCAGAAGTAAAAAAAAAACAGACCATGTTTTCTGTTATGTCAGATGATTGAATTTTTAATGTTTGTCCTGAAGGTGGCGCCAGAGTAGAGAACATATGATTGCCTTGATTTAAAGGTTCTGCCTAGGAACAGTTACCATTATAAAACAATCTGCTTATTATGCTCAGTTCTACATTTCCAACAGTCTGAGCTGTACTACTTCAAGCTTAATGCTAACATGGACATAAAGTAATCCAGAACACAGTGTAGAGGCCGACATGTCCACAACCTGTCTGAACACTACACATTTAGCAGCTAGTGTTTTAACATTTGAAATCAGGGGATCAGTTGTGATGCTTTAGTAAGTGGTGCCAATAGTTGCTAAGTGGGGTGTTGGTTGCACAACTTGACTCTTTTCTTTGCCAATTAAGCAGTTTGGGTGTTTTTTTGTTGTGTTTTTTTTTGCTCCTGCTATGTTTTTAACCACTGCGGCCTCCTTTTTGCAATATGCAATACTGCAATATGAAGGCCTGCTTCTCCGTGGAATCAGCACAACCATGGATAGAAGTGGAGAGAACTCAGAAATGTCTTTTGTGTGGCTTCACAGTTATGCAGAGGAGTGCAGAATTTTTTGCTTTTTGCAGAATCTAGCCAAAGCAAATGGATTAGTTCTGGCAAAATTTTAAATGAGACTTGTAGAATAAAGTCAATGTAGTGAATTATCACAATTTGGAGATTAGATTTAGTTCATTTTCCCATCTAAACTATGTGTCAGGCATGATTGTTTCAAGGATCGTTAGGGGAAATAAACAATTCTAGGCTCTTATACATAGTGTAAATTGAGGTTTATAGGGTTAGTGTTGACTCACTGTTGAATGATCGCAGTATGACAAAACATCTGGCAAAAAATCTAATCTTAGAATAAAACTTAATTTCTCAAACTGCCATATCTTCTCTTTTCCTCTGCTGCAGCCCAAGAAGAAGAAGAACATTTCCCACGATGCCTTCGGTACCAAGTTTGGCCGAGTGCACATGCAGAAGCAGGACCTGTCCAAGCTGCAAACACGGAAGATGAAGGGCCTGAAGAAGAGGAGGGGGGAAGTGGTCGTTGAAGAGCAGGACGTACAGGCACCCAAAGTGGCCAAAGTGGAGAGCTGAGGCTGCTTTTGATACAGATTACTGTCCAGTACTGGTCCAGCTTCCGTCTCTGTCCATCACGTTAGAGGACTGATTGTGTGTTTGTCATTGACAGCTTTTATTGCTGAGGCATCAGAGCAGCCACCGAACTAAGAAATGCAGATCTGTTATTCCTTTCTCTATTGTTCTTTTTCATGTGACATTCAGATATTCTTTTCTACGCAAACCCAATGGACATCGTGAATAGTCTTACTCCAACAAACCTTATCTGTTGCTGTCATTAAGTCATTATTCTCGACACATTTCAGTCAGGGTGAGTTAATTTTTTACTGCAGTAAACTGGACTGTATAAAAAATTAATTTCACTCACTGTAAGGGAAATAAAACAGTCTCTAAACCACCTTTAGAGCTTCAATAAAAGTGCTCACTGTTTATGATTGCAGGTGTTACTTGTCTACATTCTGCTGCACCTAAACCGTTCATACATGCATCATTTTAGACGTTTACCTCGGGGTCGATCAGACACATTTCCAGTTCGACTAGTCCTGCTCTTCAGCTAAGTTGACATTAAAACGATTTTTGAAAAAAAAAAGCATACAAAGGGTTACTGTTTTGCATAAGCTGTAATGTGTTCTTAGGATTTAACAAATTAGTGTGAACTAGCTAGCAGATTATTTTAAAATCTATTTATATGCAAGTTTAATCTGATAAAAGCATATTAAGGATTTTAGGAGATCTTAACTAAATAGTTTTTTGTGTCCTAAAAAGTAGAAGATAAAATGTATCATACAATTAGGTCAAAAACTCTGACAACTCGAGGAAAGATACTTCTGTTTTGCGTTCATGTTTAATTATTACACTTTATTTTGCTTTAATCTCAGCAACACTGGGGCTTCATGGACTCAACAAGCTTTTAAAAACCAAATAGGCCCAGCATGATGTGATAACTTTCTGAAGACTTCATTGTCATCTTGGTTACGTTTTACTTTGTCAGTCTAAGTGTCTCTTTAAATGTCCAATGGGGTTGAGATGAGATAACTGTGGAGGAAAGACTTGTGTTTCTTGGTCTTCAAGTCAAAGCTTTGAGCTGTTTAGACTCATTGTCCTGCTGCAGTGTGAATCCTTCTCCACAAAGATGCAAACCGGAGGCCGTCGCGTGTCTCTTTAGGATGGAGTTGTACAGTTGTCCGAACAGCAGAACACCCCCAGACTGAGATATTCCGACCACATGTCTCAATGTGAGTTTAATACACCGCAGTACACCGTAACAAAATGACTGAACTATTGGCAGCTGTGGTCACCAGTATTTTGTAGTGTTCTAATTAAACTGTATATAATTGAATTCAGTGCTCCACAGTAGAGAACCAGGGTTACTGCTTAATCCTGTAACTAGATGAATCAGCATTAACTGCAGTTACTTGTAATTGACAACATTTTCTTCAAAAATGTATAAACTGCTGTGAATTACAGACATATACCATAAGGATCAATCCTATAAAGCTTTCCTCTGAAGGTTTCTGTTTGCAGAGATAAGATCTGCCAACTTTGTTTAACATTTAAAATACATTAAGCACTAAAACAATAAAGGCTAAGACATGTTTTGGAATTTTCTTCAAAGACAGTGATGAATGACATAAATATATTTTAGAAAATACACTTGGTTAGAAGAAAATAAAGTAAAAACAGACCATTTCAGGGCATCAGTGTGAAGTTATCAATATTCTTAGCTGCCTTAAATAAGTCGCTATCTTACATTTTACAGAACTACATCTTATCCACTTCAGTTTTCCGCTCTGCACATCTCTTTCTTCGTGTGTGTCCCCTGCTTACCTCACAGTTTGTTTTTAGCAGCTGTTAAGGGGAAGTGAGAGCTTTCACAATGGCAGTGAGGGGGGAACATTAGGATGTAAATGTGTTCATTGCGAGTCCTTCAGAACTCGTGCTCAATACACAGCTTCTCGGTTGTATGTGGTTGAATGGGAGGGTGGCTGTGCTGGGAAAATCTGCCTATACAGTAACAACAAACGTAGAGAAATGATAGTTATTGGATGCAGCTTCTCACTGTGTAGCCCTTTAATGGGCTTTACTGTTGGTTGTGTTGCGTGGCCAGACTTTAGCTCTGTCCCTGGTTTTACCACGTTATATTCCATTATATTTTGAATTGTCACGTGGTTCCTTAAAAGGTTGTTATTTTCCCTTTAGAGAATTAAACATTTCCACCTTAAATTGATGCAGAAAAGGCACAAAATAGCGCACATATAATCAGATATGGCATCACAGTCCTTTTAAGTCTAAAATAAACAGCTCGGCTACAACAGCAGTGATAGCGATCTGGAGGAAGGAGCACCCATCTCTCAACAGAAAACAGTTGAAAAACATGCACAGAGGATCCTGAAGGCCTCCTCACACGTTTTAGTTTAAGACTATTAACTTCAGGCAGACGCTACAGAGTCTGCAAACACGAGAGCAATCGTTTTAGACCATCATTTATTCCCACTTCTGTCACACTTCTCAACAAGGAGCAGCTCAATCTGAACTCCTAATGTCTCTGACTTCATATTTAATCTTCATGAATCCCTGTCTCTGTTTACCTTAAATATTTGCATAGGTTGTTATGAAAGTGTGATGTGAAGTCCTCCCTTCCTGGTGCTGTCAGACTTCACAGCCAGAACTGAAACACTGACATATTTCACTCTGGTGCATACGTCTACACATTCAAACCTGGGCATTATTTGTATTTTGTACATTTAAAAAAACTATATAATATTAATTTCTCAGCATATACAAGTTATGTGAGCAAAATAAGTGTTTTCTAGCTATGAAAGATTCTGTGCAAAACGAGATAAAATACATTTTGTTGATGCCTTACTGAGGAACTTTACAGCAGCTACATACAACTGAGGCACGGAAGAAGCAGGAAAAGAAACACAGAAGTAAAATAAGGCCAAAAAACAAAGCTATAATAAACAGACATTTCTACTTAATGGAGGAATCTGTGCAATATTATTGTTTTCATTATTAAGATACGTGCAATAGAGTTATGCTCCACATCCAGAGGAATATGTACAATATCAACAATACTTAGGCATATTTCTTTTCTCCTTTTGTTGTGTGCAATATCCCTTATGCTGCTGTGACACTGCAAATTTCCCAGCTGTGGGAGGACTTATGACTTATCTATGTATGTCATGTTTAAGTTGAAAGGCGTACTTTCCTGTGTGTTACTTTCTGTTGTCTCTGTGCAGTGTTTTGTGTTACCTTTCAAGAAATTCCCCAGAATGCAGGAAATGATGGGTTTGAGGGCTTTCTACATCACCTACCTAATGAGTGCCCCTCTGACATTTAAATGACACCTGCTCCCCTGGCAGATTTAGCATTTTGTGTGCAAAATCTGGATTTTCTACGTATGAAAGAATCTGCGCAGTACAAGATAGGATACATTTTATTGATCAGAAAAAAATCACAGCAGAGTTGTCCTCAAATTTATTCACAACCTTAAATTAAAAAAAAAGGCAAAATTCACAGTTGTCACTCAAATAACTAGAAACTGAAAAAGTAATAATAAATAAATATTTGCTAAATTATAATTTAGTGAAATAAGACATTGCTTTTGAATTTTGGGTGAAAAGAATATTTTTAAAAAAATAAACAAAACTGTCCCGGACAAATTAGAGCACTTTGCTGATGAGCAGTGGACCAAAATCAAAATACCTGTCACCAGGTTCAGTAGTCCGACTGAGAGTTACAGAAAACAGGTGATTGCAGTGATTGGCTCAAAGGGTTGTTCAACAAAATATTAGTTCATGGGTCCCATCATGCTTGTTTTTTTGTTGTTGTTTTTTTAAAAAAGTATTTCTGTTGAACCATAATTCAAAAACAACGTCATGATTTTCATATATTTTTTAAAATGTATTATTACTTTTGTTAGTTTCAGCTTATTTCAGTGACAGCTGTTGTTTCCTTCTTTAATGGAAGGGTATGAATACATTTGAGGACGATTGTACAAATGAGGCGCGGAAGACGCAAGACAAGAAATACAGAAGCATTATAACAATAAAGATAAAATAAACCCAGATATAGATCAACTCAGTCTAATGTCAATATTTGTTATGTTAGTATTTCTACTTGTAGAATAATCTGTGCGGTATCATTCTCTGCATCCAGAGAAATCTGTGCAACATACGAATTTTCACATACTGAAGATTCTTTACAATCTCAACAGTAATTATGTGCATTTCTGGGTTATTATTTAGATTTTTCTACTGCTGTGCTTAAAATTTTGCATCCCTTTTGCTGCTGTAACACTGGAAATATGCTCATCTTATCTTACGTATAGTATGTTTTAAATGACAAAGCTTCATATGTGGTTCTACATACAGTATATGGCTTCTCTAGTACCCTTCTGTGCTACTTTCTGTGCTGTCTTATCTTGTAAACAATTCCCCAGAATGCAAAAAGTGATGCGTTTGAGGTCCCAGCACATTGCCTACTGAATACAGGAATGAATTAACCTGCTGCCCTGGCTGCAGCAGTGTTGGTGTGTAGCTCAGTGCTTGGCATCGAGTGTCCAATGAGCTGCAGGATGCTCCGGAGTCCCGCCTCTCCTCACTGTCTATTTATATCAGAGCAGCTCGAGCTTTGACAGTTTACACATGCTGCATTACCAGCACCAGCAGACCAGCAGCTGCACCTCAGTGACTCCACTCTGACCCCCCCACTGCGTTTCAGTTAGTGGGACCCCTGAGGCAGCCTGCTCGAGCCACCTCTATAAATAAAATCTTCCTTTTTTTTTTCTCTTCAAATTGACTTTTACAACATTGACACAATGACAGAAGGGAACAACGTACCTGAAGGTGATGCGGCAGAGAGCACCGTGGTGCCGGCGGAGGAGAAGCGTCCGGAGGAGGCGGCGGCGGTGGAGGAGAAGAAGGAAAACGGGGACAGCAAAGTGAACATCCCGGAGAAGGAGTCCGCGCCAGAGGCAGCAGCGGCGGCGGAGGCTGAGTTTGTGCACCCGGAGGGCGGCTGGGGGTGGGTGGTCATGCTGGCCTCCATGTGGTGCAACGGCTCCGTGTTCGGGATCCAGAACGCCTTCGGGCTGATGTTCCTTTCCCTGCTGAAGGAGTTCGGCTCCGTGGATGACCAGGACCTCCGCTTCAGGACAGGTGAGCGCCGGTTTTAAGCGGTCATATGTGTTTTAATTAACCCCAAAACACATGCGTGGTTTAAGTTAAGTTACACAGCCGGCTTCAGAGTGTACATTTATGATGTTCTAGCGGCGAACGGCTCTCTTTTCCGGAGCTCCAAATCTTGCTCATGGGACACATGAACGGCTTCGTAGGGGGGGATTTGACCCGGCGACCTCCCCACCTTCCTCGTACACACACATACCGTCCTTTTCTTTGATTAAAAAACATTTATTTATCATTTTAAGCTCTGTTAAGACAAACTCCTTTGCCCTTTAGCCTTACTGTACACAGTAAATAAGTTAGTAAGTTAGCTAACATCTGCTAGCAAGCTATACGATACGTCGTTTCCTGGTGAGAAACACAACAAAGATGTGTGACAGAAATGCGAGTCAAACTGAGGAAATTGCGGTTAAATGGCACAATTGCTGGGATAAATGTTTGTTTACTGTCATAGTACTCACTATAGTGGCTGTACAAAAACCAAAAAAAGGTTATAGTTTGTGTCAGAAACCGACTTTGAGGTCCCTTTGTGCTTCTTTTGTTTAAAAATTCACATTCAGTGCATCATTGAATAAAGCAGCTCCACTGTTATGTAATCTAAAGTTATTCAGCACCTCAGAAGTCACTGAGGAGGGTGAACAAAAGCCAAAAAAAACAACAAAAAAAAAGGTCAAAGTAGTAGTTTGTATCCCGCTGTGTAGCACTGTGTTTGTTCATACTACTTGTATACATAGTGTTGGGTGGGTTGTAGGGGTCACAGGCTCCTCAATATGTAGACTAAGTGCATTTATTCCCCCTTTTTTATGAAGTCTTCTGCTTATTTATTCAGATATCAAAATTGCTATCCGGATACCAGCACAACGACAGAATTACAGAATATTCAGTTATCCAGGTCCAGCCCTACAAGTCACGAGATTTTTCATGAAGGTGCTGAACCTAAATGTGCACCAAGGCAGTTTTCCCTGCAAAGTAGCAGCACTTGTCTCCACCTAAACAGTTATGTGTCACTATTTTAAGTAAACATGGAAGCAACATCTTTCACTTAGCTCCGCCCAGAATTATTGTGATTGGTTAAAACAAACAAGCCAGGGCGTTTACCCCCCTATAGCATAATTATAATGAGGCACAGACAGACCATTCTGCTTTCTAGAATGGTCTGGTTGAGTGAGACTAGACATAGTCATGTTTTCTTTGTGTTAGCCAGCTCTACAAAACCTGAAACCCCCAATCGAGGATAGTTGCACATTGTCAACTTTCTTTGTCTCTTCTTTCTCACAAAATAGACAGATAATGAGTTACCGATATTAGTAAAGCAGAACAGGTTGTTCTAGGGAGCTATGCAGAGTGTAAAAAAATTATTATGATAACAAAAGGCTGATGATACACGAGAGGATTTTGGTAGCAAATTGTTAGTCTTGGAAGTAGATTTGTCTATTTTACCACTCAGTGCGCTATCAATGCAGATGCTTATTTATAATGTGGCTGCTGCCCAGTAGAGCTCTTAAACTGTAAACTTCACACATTAAACATGTCATTCAAGACGTGCATTGAGGTCTGACATTGTCCCAATAGACATTTTCTGCACCACCAGTTGAATGCCTACTGCAACTGCATGGCTTCTTTAAGTGGCATTACTAATGCACAGCTGAACAGGTTAGCAGATGTAATGTGTTCACTCAGCTGAGAATCTGTATCAGTCAAAGAGAATATGGTCAGGAGAAAAACTGATGACAGGGTGATGCTTCTTACAGCTGATTTAAATACCTAACTCTGAACAGAATCTCCACCAAAGCAGGTTAGCTGTGCAACACAAGTTATTATGGGTATCTAGCAGGTTTAAAGAGAGCCGCCTTCGCGACATTTTCTACCATATATTGATGCAGTAAGATTCATCAGAATGCCTAAAATGCTCATTGTGATCGACCCCCAAACCCCCTTTTTAATGTACCTTCCCCAATGATTAAATGAAACCCATTCATGTGCTTGTATCATATTGTCACAATACACTTGTGTCTCTTTTATTCCTGTTCATCTGCAATTTCATGGTTTGTCCTGCTTCTTGTGGTGCAAACCAGTAAGTAGCAGTGTAGGATGTTAAAAAGCTTTGACAGTCTATCTTTACACCCTGTCTTTCTATTTTAAGTCTGTTTTTTGTCAACATGTGGGCAGTGAATATGTGAATATAAATGATGGAACGCTCTCACTCTTTTTCTGCATTTACTTCAATTAACAACTCACTGAAAACATCATGTGGATGCTACAGATAGCAAACTGGAGGTTCAGAGTCAAGGAAAAAGTCACATAGGGAAAATCTCTCTCCCCTCTTTGGGTTTGAGTGTGAGAGACATGGACTTACCACATGAATAATGACCCTGTGCTGTTCCGCTGTGATTGTAACCACCTGTTGATGGTGCCGCTGTCTGGCAGATGAGCAAGTAACTGTAGAACTTTGTGAAAACCCCCCTTATTTTTTTGACAGTCTAGAACCTAAACACTTTAGAGATACATTGAATTGTTGACTGCTTTTACCGATATGTGTGAATTGCATTTGAATTTTCAAGAGACACCCTTGACTTTTGCCTTTAAAGACAAAAATGAAGCAGATGTTCCCAGTTAAACAACATCTTTAGAACAGCATCTTATTGTCAACAGCTGGAGTTGCTACAGTGGCCTGTAACTGACACAAGACATAAATTTACACTTTTAGACAAATGCGTAATAAAGAAATAATGTTCAGAATGTTCATGAGAGCAAAATGAGTTCTGTTTGGTGAGTCTTGAAATTCATCGCTGAAGTGCCAGCTTCGATTAAAAACCCAAATATGTCATTCTGTGGGTCTCATTTCCCCTTTCGTTGATTTCTTTTTATCATGAAAATTCCTGCCCCATTTATCTAAAGATCTCTTAGAAAATCTGCTATGATACAATGCATTTATGTATGTCTTTCAGCAAATGCAGCTGTTGTATTATTGCTGCTGTGATAGCGCTGTCTAATAAGCACATACTCTGCTGCAACTCAACCCAGTGTACACACCCACCACCCACTGCTCTCCTCCAGTAACCTAAGTTCATTGGCACTGCGTCTTGACAAGTGACGGCTTACCCCAAGTGAAGCTGAGACAGCTGGACAAATGTGGGAATGTGGGGAGGAGGAAATGACACTCAGGCTTTACTTATGCAACTTCCGCCAAGGGTTTCACTTCTTATCTCTGTGTTCTGTTATACCTTCATGCAAAAGCATGACTACAGTCTAATACCAGAACTCCTGAATGGGATGCATGAACCTAGATTGATCTTGGTGATCACTGGGGAAAGAAACAGAATTTAGAAAAACAAACAATTTAAAAAAAAAAAAAAAAAAAAAGGTAATCTCTGAACTCTCCATTAAATTACAACTGAGTAAAGCAAAGTAGTGATTTTTTTTTTTTAAAAACCACGAGGTAGAACACATTGTGCCTTTTGAGTTTGTTCAAATTCAGCATGTTGTGTAATCACTTAGGTCTCTCCAGACCTTTGAACTTGGGTATTTTGGCATCGATTTGGCCTTGATGAAGTCTTGGTTGCTTCTGTGGTTGGAATCAGACCCACAGTTCCCCCTTAAGACATATAATGTATAGATCCACGTCTGCTCCTGCTTACTTTGAGCCAAAGCATCATCTTACTTTTCATTTTGCCGGCTCATTTTTGACAAAAACTCCACTGTTTCTGGTTCTGTGTTTTATTTCCACTATTAATCTGATTTAACTCTGGAGCTTAAACATCACACCTGAACCAAGTTGTTTCGTTTTGTGTCCCTTCATTCTATCACAAGCCGGCACTTGTGAGACAGATTCAGTTGGTTGGATTCTGGGGTTGAGAAATTTTAAACTAATAGCATTACAGTATCCCACAAAGTCTATTGTTATTGGACGATTCTTCACCTGTGTTGATGTCGGTGTTATTGCTTGAAGTAGTTTGTCTTACATGTAGTGAGGTGCAAAGCAAGAGGGAGGAGGTCCGGGCGGTGGATGGGCATGCAGCGAGTTCATGTCCAGTTTAGGAAGCTGGAATCACAGAATTGGACTTTATTTCTTAAAACATTTCTCAAAGCAATTAATCGATTATCAGAATAATTGGTAAATAATTTAGTTTTAGTTGACTAATAGTTGCAGCTCTACCTAAATCGTTCTTTACTGATCAAAGAAAATGATAGCGCAGAACCCCAGCTATTGACCTTTTTAACCTTTTTAATGTACTTGTTTTTCCTTCCACAATGCAACAAGATTGCTGATAGTACAGTTAGAAATTGGAGTCAGCTGGAGCTGGCAGGAGACAGCAGACACTGACATCACTTTTATTATACTCCTCAAAATGTTTCATACAACCTTTTTCACATATGTTGTAGCACTCCCCCAAACCTGTAAACAGACTGTGCATTTTCTATATTAGCTTGTAAGTTTCCTTTAAGTTTTTTGAAATGACAAACCCTACGCATAGTTTAGTTTACATAACCATCATCTTTTCCTTTATAATACCACCGTTGGTACAACAGACATTAGATAATATTGGACATAAAAAAAACATTGTTATTAAAGGTAGTCCAGATTTACAGAACTGTCAAGTATCAATGTCTTGTCTGCCATTTGGATTACAGCCATGTAAGTTTATTGTAAATTTAACATGATTAATATAACAACATCATGGTCAATTTTCCTGAATTCATTACTTAAGCTAAGGAAAGCTTTATTTTTAACGCCTAGCATTTTGGAGCTTGTGATTTGCCTTTGGCGCTGAAAATAAATGATCTATACAGGAAAAACACTTGTATAAAGAGTTGTAAATTCATTTTCATTATCTTTGTGTTCCCTTCACATTTAGTTGTCTTTTCCTTGAATTCAGTCATGTTTTGGGACCTGGGTTTCTCACCTGAAGACCGAAACTTATCTGCTAGGAAAACTCCATTTGCAAGAAGTTCTCTCTTGTTTTCTTTTAATGTTA